GAGCCAATCATAGCCGTTAAACCTTCACAAACGGTTGCTATACCATTCCCGTCTCGAGTGCAAGGTAGGAACAATTGCTACAGTAACTAAAAGGTTAAGGACGAATCTTGGGCCAACAAATAATTACAAGGTTCAGCTTATATATTATATATACGTCGTGTTTAGCGTCATGTATTGGATCTATAAAATTTTGAAATATGTTTATATCGTATTATATTATGTTATTCAATTATCATTGAATATAATATGAATTCAAATGTATTATATTTAATATTTAACAATTCAATAATTTAATAAATTCAAATTTCAAACTTCAATTTTATCAAACCCACTCTTCGTTTCTTTTTTTTGTGGTGGGCACAAGCTCAGCGGCTACACCTCGTTGAATTGAGTAACGGTTAACCTGGTAATCGTTTGGATCCCTGGTCCTCCTGCCCCAGATTCGTAACTGTTAACGGATAGATTAATATAATATAATATAATAAGTGAAGGGAGGAGAGGGGTGTCATTTGTCAGGTGGACACGACATGGTCAGTACTTGATTGGTGTCTGGTCATGCGGGCGGAAAGTTGCCCACTACTACTACTGTTTTAGGCTTGTCTTGGCTCGGCGATGACATTTCTCAATTCTCATGTGGTACTGTTCAATTCCCCACTTCTATCATTCCATGCTAAATGGTATCAACTAGTTGTCCCCAAGACTTTTCTGTACTCGGACCTAAACAGGGCCCACTAGGTAAGGGTAATCGGTATGAACTATCAAGCGTTGTAGTACGAGGGACATCTCAAGTTGAGATTCTCAACTGCCTCTTCCGTTTGGTTGAGAATCAACTCTTTTTTTTTTTTTTTTGGGATAAAAAAGGATTGATTGGATCAAGTTCTGATCATCATCACGGATCCGAATATGTCTTCGATCACCCTCAAATCTCTTCCATTGATGAGATGTGCATATGTAAATATTGTACTACTTTTTTTAATACATCATATACGAAATAAAAAAGTAGTTAAAAAATGTATTAATGCTACAAATAAATAAAATTTGACAAATAATTCACTATCTAAACAAATAATTACTTATTATTCTTTTGTTTGATGATAATTAGCAGTAGGATATATAATACCATTTTTTATCTGGCAAGAATACTCAGATGAATTTGTTCTATAATCTACTTGTAGAATAATGATAAATAACATATAACGGTACAAGGATATCGTTTGTATATTATTGCAAAAAGCTTACGAGTGAAACCTTAAATCAAACGCACCTAAATATTTATCTTTACTTGGGTTGAACTCTTTTTAAAGTTGCATCATCTACCTCTATCAAATTTTCTTTGATTTACTCAAATAATTGGAATATTTGTCAAACACGTAACTCTTTTCGATAGAAAAAGTCGCATTATCCCTATCTAATTAAGGCTTTAGCTGAACAAGCATTTCGAACTTCATTAGAGTAACATACATTCATACATACACATAGCTATATATATATATATATAATATATATATATATATATTAGAATAACTTCGATATGGTAAAAATAATTTGAAACAACTCTAATTATATTCTGGTCTTTACGTACTTGCTTGGCTCTTTTACTCTTTTAAGAATGGTTAAAATTTGGTTGCTTGACAGTGGACATCACGTAACTTTTAATCAACAATTTCGGATTAGAGAAGAAACGGAGGATCAATTAAATTCAGAGAAAGAAATATATATAAGTTATAATTTTTACTGTCCTTACTGTCAGATCATAGAAAAACACGCTCAATTTTGGATTCAACCGTTCCAGTTGAAACCGTCAAAATAGAGCTTGAAGCCTGGGAAGGATAATTATACATTAGTAGCATTTAATTGACCTTAATTAAGTACTAGGTTTCAGCTTTAAATTGTATACAAAAAATGCACTGCACCTGCACCCGAAAAGTGCTGAAAGAGTTTCAGAGGCTACTTTTTTTTTTTCAGAGGCTACTTGCTATACAGAAAGTGTGTGTGATTTGGAACGAGTTTCAGAGGCTACTCGCTCTAGAAAGAGCATTAAGTTGACCAAGTTCAAGCAAACTTGCTGCCGCCATTCTGCAATACTACCGAAAAGTCAAGAATTGGACGACTTAGTCAAACTGAACAAATTTTATCAGAAACCGTTTATTTTTGTTAGATCTCTGACTTGTATTAATCCTTTTTTTTTTTCTGACTTGGTTCTAATTTCTGGAATTCCAAACCTCTCATCATGTTGATTTGATGCCAAGACTTCCTCTCCATGCTAAGACTTTTTTGGGATCGCACAATTTTTTTGTCAAACTATTTCAAAAGGAAAGTGATATTTCAACAATAACACTTAAATTTTTGTCGAACTATCTGTTTTACATTTTGTTATTTTATAGACAAGTGTAAGGTATCGATTTGATGTACGTGGAATAAAAAGGTGATTGAAAAATGTGTTTACGAAATGCGAATTTTTTTTTTTTAAAAAAAGACAATTCAAGCAAGACCGTGAAAATTATAAAAGGCATAATAAATTGTGTCTTTTTAAATTAGATGTTCTATTCATGGAGAATATTCTAAATTCCATATTATAATTCTGGGGAAATGAAATATTCCAAAGTCATGTAGTTGGTACGACACAGGAGAAAATCTACCACTTCAGGGAGCCCAATAACGAGGTCAGTACATTCATCACTCTTTTTACCACAAAAAAATAGTATTGTCTTTTTTTTTTTTTTGAGATGACAACTGTTGTATGACTTAATTTATCTTACACTAAGGGGGAAGGACGGACCTAAGGAGATCCAGGATAACTCAGAAGAGACTGAACCACCACCGGATCAGACGAATGCACTACACATCCGCCTGGATTTTTTGAAACAAGCCACTTTAAATGTGGCATTCATCGAGCCTTATTGTCGCAAAATAGTTTTTTGTCCAAGGGACAATCTTTTGTCGCAAAATATATTGTCGCAAAAATAGTGTTGTTAAACTTTCAAGTTCTCAACATGGTTATTTTCTCTAAACAAATTTAAGAATCTATTTAGGGGCTCTATTTAAAGACAAATGATGATGAAAGGTGCGTTAATATCAAGAATGTTTCACCTAAGATAATCAATTAATGTAGCAACATTAGTAAGACCCAAAAAAAAAAAAAAAAAAATGGACACCTCTTTCTTCATTCTCTTCCCTCTTTACTACCCCTTGTTTTCTATCACTGACATTTCTTATCAGCGAGCCAACCAGTACAGTGGTTTCAACTAACGGTGTTGGGTGGGCGAACAGGGGCATTGCTTTTTCCATTGAACAGAAGGATTAGAATATGGATTGATGACGGTTTTGTTTTGATCAACAGCATATGCTTATGATGTATGATGATGGCCTAACCAAAAACAACAAACCAAATGATGGCGGCATTTGATAGCCAGCTGGCCCGACCTTCATCTAAATAATTGACTCACTTTCTTGTGGAATCTTAAAGGCACAATACCTCGATTTAGATTGTGATGATGTAATTCCTTGGTTTTAGACTCTTAATTAAAAAATTCCTATTTCCAAAGTATTTGGAGAGAAATGTGGAGCTAGTGCCCAGCTACAAGGCTTGTGGGAATAACTCATCAAACTTGTTTGGTCAGTTTGGAGAAAAAGGGTTGTAAGTAACTTCAAGAAAACGAGCTACTATTACATTTGATTGGCATTTCGCATTAAATCAATGTGTATTTTCTTGAATTTACACCTATTTAGTATTTTCCGTGCGTAAGAAAAATTAATTCTATCATAAAATCTAAGATAAAAAGCGGGCAGAATCAGCCCACACCTGACTAATATCCCTATCCAAAAGTATAATCCATTGGATATAGGTGTAAATTTATCATCAATGAGATGAAATTAGCCATTTGGGCTTTTGAAACGAGCAAAATTCAATTGGTCTGGAGCGAAAACATGAGCCCACTAACCAAATAAAACATACAAGGGCTGGGCGGTGGGCATGTCAACTAGGCTGAGCTCCAAAGTTTAAAGTTACAATAATGTTTGGTATTGAATATCAAAAAGTTGTTAGTCGTAATTCCTAAGTGGTGGTCCAAATGATAATGATGTTTCTTAAATGATAGCCAATTGCATTACTTTACTTTTGGTCCGTTGTCATAATTCTGCCTTTTTAAAAAAAAAAAAAAGAAACGTCATAACTCTGTGATACATTCGAACTATTTGTATAAAGTGACTATAAATAAACTTTTTTTAAATTGTAATAAAGACTAATTTTATAACGTATGAAGCCTTCATAAACTTGACATGTTGCACACTTTTTTTTCATTTATTTGCAATGCTGCATTTGATTAAATTGTGATAAGTGACTAAATGCGCTAAAGTAAAATGTTGTTATAGATGTAATTTCAATGAGTAGAAAATCCAATGTACGATATTATTAAATGTATGAAATATAAAAAATAGGACTAAAATTGTTAATTTCTCTTTTCGTCTCAATTCGATTTGTCTCCCAATTCAAAATGAAGTAGTTTTTCTGAATATTTTTTATTCATCCCTACATTGACAATTCTCATGGGATCACGAGTAAAATGAGAAAGAAAGGAGAGAAACGGAGTAAAATGACCCTCTTTCCTTCTACCGTCCAACCGTTCAAGGAGGCGGGCAAGAACAAGAAACAGCTGCACGGCCGCACATACACATTCACATGGGCAGCTGGTCAACGAGTCCAATGATTCTCTCCTCCTTTCTCTGATTAACCAATAATAAAGAAATACCCATTGTGGAAATCGTGACCAAATTTCTTGTTGAAAACAACACTCCATCTCAAATCAATAGTCCACCACAGACCATTGTAGTTTGAAATCGACCATACAGTCAACCGCTTTCATCTTGTCAGGCAAACTCCACTACTTCTTTTGCTTATTTATGCCCATTATTATTTGTGTATCGCTCTCCTCCTAAAATTCTGATCAGATCACTTCCATTTTCTCCAGTTAAGTATACTCCTCGACTTCTGAAGAGCCACCATGGCTGAAACTAAGTCAGATCAAGGAAGCCCATCTCTCTTTTCTCCATACAAGATGGGAAAGTTCAATCTGTCTCACAGGTTAGTGATTGCAGTTATCAGTTGAGTCCTCTGTCCCTCCCTGCAGATGCGTATTTTCCTGATCCTTCTTGATCAGCTGCAAATTTTCTAATCTTTTTTTTGTAACAAGCATGACTAATAATTGAGCTCTAAAGCTGAATTATTGAGCTTGAGATATATAGTAAGTACTCTATTAGTAGGAGTGCTAATATACTGGAGCTGCAGAATTTCATTTTGGGCTGCCAAATTTTTTCTTCATTTTCTCTTACCGAATTTGTCCCTTGCATGACTAATGACATCTTCTGTTTTTCTGGGCTACCCATATATATATATGATGGCAGGTGGTTCGTTCTGGCGCCGATGACAAGATGCAGGGCCATAAATAGCATTCCTCAGCCTGCCATGGCGGAGTACTACGCCCAAAGAGGAACCAATGGTGGCTTTCTCATCACGGAGGGCACCATGATCTCCCCAACTGCTGCCGGGTAATTCTGTACTTTATGCTTTCTGGATGTTTATTAGGAAAAGTATATTAGTCCAAGTATTTGAAACTGTAGGGCCTCTCTGATAAAACAACGTTGTCTACAAGTATTACTGTAGTTGAGTGGGATCCATATGTTTAATGTTCGCACAATTGGAGCCATTAGAGCTAGATATTTTTTTCTTGATAAAGTTGGAACATCATTTTTACACTAACCAATCGATCCTTACACTGTAGTTTGGTATATAACGCAGTAGATTCGGAAGCTTGGTATAGCCGAAAGGAAGGAAAACATAAATGAGTTGTGTAATATTTTCTGATAAAATTTCACATTTCCTTTTCGTTATTTTCGTTGTTATCTTTTGCATGGCATGATATTTATTTCATTTCTACGCGAGGGAAAGTTGAGCTTGTGAATCTATTGACATTTGATTAAATCTAATTAAAACACACACACACCACACACACGCTGTTTGGAATAAACATTTATTTTCTTACGTTTGTGATGTGGATCCAGGTTTCCGCATGTGCCGGGATCTTTACAAAGGAACAAGTGGAGGCATGGAAGCAAGTGGTTGATGCAGTACATGCCAAGGGTGCTATTATTTTCTGTCAACTGTGGCACGTTGGCCGTGCGTCACATGAAGGTGTAATTTTGTGGTGTTAGTATAAAATAAAGCTAAACTTGACTAGAATTAATGGCTAATGCTAAATTATTTTATAAGACAAATTTCAGTTGTATTCGAGTATGATAACGAAAATGTGAGAACTTTTATTTTTTTTTCTACTATGCTGGTTTGAAGAATTATTGAACACAATGTTCAAGACCAAGTGAAATTCGAACCGTTTCAAAACCACTTAGACACTTTAATAACATTAGGCGATTATTCCACTTTTACTTACTTGGGTTGTAATATTCTTGATCAGTTTATCAACCTGGTGGTGGTGCACCCATATCATCAACGGGAAAGCCTATATCAAAGAGGTGGAGGATATTGATGCCTGATGGCAGCCATGGGATCTACCCTAAACCACGTCCATTAACAACAGCGCATGAGATTGCGCAAGTTGTGGAAGATTACCGCCAGTCGGCCTTGAATGCCATTGAAGCCGGTCAGTCCATTTTGTTTATCTATACATATTTTGACAATCATGTGTATGTTGAATTGGTTTGATTTTTCCATTAGCACTTCCTTGAGCTTGATGAGAATATTGCTAGGAGATTCTAAGGCACCATCACCCCAAGCTATGGCATTTTGATGTAGAGGAGGAGCTGCCGTGAATGGACTGCCATTGCTTGGTTCTTACAATACTATGTGCTTACTTTGTGGGATCTTCACAATCACTGGAGTCTGGTTCTGCATGACCTTTCCATTACATATTATATTTATTTAATATTTCCCTGCTGGAAATTCACAAAATGGGAAAAAAAAATACTCGTAAGACATACTTGGGATATTAACTGCACAGTAACATCAATACTTTACCATGATGGTCCTTTTAGCTCTCCGGTTATGTGAGGATTCATGTAGTGTTCCTGGCTGTTTTTCGTTTGTGGTAGAAAGTAGTAAAATTGCGAATTTGTAGTAAATCAATTATTAGATCAATATCATTAAAAGTACTTAGTTGACAAGGATGTAACCATGAACTTAAAAGATCAGCAATGTGGAATGCTGAATGGAATCCAGTTCAGCCTGCAGTTGGCATTCCAGTTCCTTTGATTGTTTTATCATATTTGAGAATCCCAAGAGAATTGAAATTTCTCAGCTAACTGTGATAAAAAAAAATTGTCATATGTCGTTGCTGTTGGCCTTGATGAAGTTAAAACTATGATTTGCTATACCAATTCTTTATGATTATATTCTGCACTATATAATTATCTAGTATAAGTTTCTTAGGTTTATGGATTAAAGGATTTCTTACTGTAACAGGTTTTGATGGTATTGAAATCCATGGAGCACATGGCTACCTAATTGACCAGTTCTTGAAAGATGGGATCAATGATCGGACAGATGAATATGGTGGATCTGTTGCAAATCGCTGCAAATTCATTGTGCAGGTGGTTCAGGCTGTTGTTTCAGCAATTGGTGCAGATCGTGTTGGTGTCAGAATTTCCCCTGCTATTGACCATCTTGATGCCATGGACTCTGATCCACTAAGCTTAGGCCTGGCAGTGATTGAGAGACTTAACAAGCTCCAACTGAATTCAGGCTCCAAGTTAACATACTTGCACGTGACTCAACCTCGATATACAGCGTATGGCCAGACAGAAGCAGGCAGACAGGGGAGTGAAGAGGAGGAGGCCCAACTAGTGAGGACTTTGCGAAAAGCTTATCAAGGAACTTTCATTTCCAGTGGTGGGTTCACCAGAGAGCTAGGAGTTGAAGCAGTAGCTCAGGGTGATGCTGATTTGGTTTCCTATGGTCGCCTTTTTATCTCAAATCCAGACTTAGTTTTACGCTTTAAGCTAAATGCTCCTTTGATTAGGTATAATAGATCTACCTTCTATACTCATGATCCTGTTGTAGGATACACAGATTACCCTTTTCTAAGCAATGGTACCAGTGGCAATGTACCACAATCACGTCTGTAATTTGCATGTTGTTCTATTATGGTTGAGGACTTGATAGGTTTATGCCTTCAACTTGACTGGTTTTGTTTAACGTCTCATCTGCTTTTATAATGGAAGTTTCCAGTGTGTTCTTTGAATTTTATTATCCATGCATCATGTTGACCGCGAGAGATCTCAATATATTCTGAACTAGTCCCAAAACGTACAGAAGACAATTGACCCCATTGCTTTTGGCGGAGAGGGAGAGAGTTCATAGAATTTTTTTAAAATTAATTTTTGCATTCAACTAAGGATTTGTGATCATGACTGCACCCTTCTATTCCTTTCCCTTCCTACTCTTCTAGCCCTGTTTTGGCTTACGTATCAAGCTTAGAAACATTTTTTTTTCTTCTTTTTATAATTTGTTTACAATCCTTTTCCTTTTCAAAGTGTTTGTTTTCCTTAATTAAAAGATAACGGATACGCTGGTTCCAAATTAGTTTTGAAGATTCCGAAATCTCGCTCTTTCCACTGCCCAGAAAAATGCCACCAGAGTTGCATCGTACAATTTCGTATAATTCAAATTTCCATCCAGAAGCACTGGTTCATTGGCCGTGAACTGTGCAAAATCAAGTCGAGTGTTGATGGGATCGGCTGCATGGTCGAAGCAAGGGTACAGACACATTGACCATGAGAGCACATTTTCGAGCTTGCAAGAAGCTCACTACTTTTGCAAGATCATCACGAGCCTCTTCCGTTAAGGTAATTCTTTTGATTGGCTAATTAATCAACAGAAAACGAATTATATCTTGTTTTGGTTCTATTTGTTCAATATACTCCAACATGTATTAAGATCAAGATGCCAACAGAATAATAAGCACCTGTGTCCAAAAGTCCAAATACATGCATTTGGACTTTGTGTCAAAACACTGGATAAACAGGTTTCATGTTAGGATAAAAAAGTCCCCAATTTTGTTCTACTCCAGCAGGCTTGAGATCTTCATTAAACATGGCAAAAATGAAGCCTTCAATGTGAGCCCCTGGCCTTTTAGGTGTACCAGCCTTGCTCAAGATATGCTGCTTGAAGTGCTTGTTGTACGCAGACGCAAGTTTTGGAGTTGTGAAATTCCCCTTCCCGGCAGAAGGCCATCCACTCTCGGAAACTGCCACTCCCACATTATGCACGCCTTCTTTCTCCATTGCCCAGTACACTGCATCTACCGTAGCATCAAACAAGTTATGATAAGTCAAATTACCATCCACAACCACCGCATCTGTTGCGGTGAAGAGTGCATAATCTTGACGAACATGCACTGGATCGGATGCATAGGCGAAGTAAGGGTACACATTCACCATCAGAGGTGATCCCTTGATGGTTAAAAAGTTCAGAACATCGACAATTGCACCCTTTGCATCATCTGAGAATACGCTGGCTGAAGGCGGAAAGGAAGTTCCAAGCACAGCCGTTGACACTGATGTTGTCACGGTTATACCATTAAGGTTGTCATCACTTAAGACAGACTGAAGATTTTTCATGGCTGGTGCAATACTGTCTGCGAACTCACCTGGGATGGCCTCATTTCCCACAGAAACGAATGCGAATGTAATGTCATTAGTATAAGGTTGTAGATATGTCCTAAACCATGATCTTGCGCCGTCAACGCTTGCTGCTATGTTTGGTATATCTTCATTTTTTACGCCTAATGTGACATCAATGTCACTGCCCTTTAGTGCTTGTAGAGCATCTCGATTTGGATCAAAAAGCCTCAGTTTGCCAATGCTATACTTCTTGTAAAGGGCAATGACTTCTGCGGCCGGAGGTAAGTTGTCCGCCACCATTCCATAACAAACGCCTATATCAATTTTGTCACCAGCAATGGCTATTGGGAACAGCATCATGGTTGTGATTGCAAGAACCATGGGAAATATAATCAGCAAGAATGACTTCATTTGAACCGTTACATGCATATTTTGCTTGTCTTACGTAGAATGATATCTGAAAAATTAGATACATCAATTAGTGACTGGTAATATACAGCAATATTGTTAAATCACAAAAATGAAATCATAGTCAAGTACAGTCTAATACCACTAATAAAATGCTCATGATGGGCTATAATTTAGCAGAAGCACCAATTAAAATTTCATTTGTAATTGTGACTGCATTTCTCTATTTAGAAAAAAAAAAAAAGGATCTACGTATGTTATACAGACATTTTGTTTATGCCCTTTGGTGCATGAAACTAATGATTGGCAAAAAAGATAAACCTATCTATTTAGAGAACAGGATTACATTTACAAATAGTATCATAGCATTAGTAATAACTCCAAAGCTCAACGGCAATGGGTAAATTGGTGTAATGAGAAATTATAAACACGAAACGAATATTAATTAGAAAATGGCTTTTTATTTTTGTGGGTTTACCACATATGATCAACGATTTACCTCTGAAAGAAAAAATAACAAAAGAGAGGAAAGGATGTACGCTTGAATATTTATGGGGACTATGATAGAGTTACGAAAATGTTGATGGTACGGTAACCTGAAGGACGACATATACATGTAAAACCATGGACTTACAGGCAAATTAATCAGCTATAAGTTTGGTAACGACGCAGCCCATATACTCACAAGCTATGAAGATAACTTTGGTTTTGTACAATTGTCTCCACTCCAGTAATTAATAATATGCTTTGGCTGGTAGCTAGATAACAACGTTCAAGTGCTGGAGGGGCACTGCAATTTGCAAGCTGTTTCTGCAGAATTGTCTCGGCCCCTGGAACTGGCATAGCTTCGAATGAACAAGCCTATATATGCAATATATATAATCATTCAAACCTTGTAAGTTCGGTGTTTTGGGGGTCGTCCACGGACGGACCATAAAAATTTATGGTCAGTGGCCACGAATGCAAACCAAACCAAGCCGCATATGGGTTCTTGTTTTTCACACCTGGTGGAAATAGCTCCCTGATATAATAAAAAGATTAAGAATCTATTTATTCAAAATTTTGTAAAATGGTAAGCTGAGTGGAGATCTGTTATCATCTATAAATGAATAAAGACGGAAATCATTAATGGAAATATTTAAAAAAGAGGTGGCAATTTTGATCCAAATCCATTAAACCATTCGTATCCGTCTCACTTAATTAGGCTCATTTGTTTCGAGGGAATAGGAGGGAAAGGAAAAGAAATGAAATGGTGGAATAAGAAGGTTTTTTATATTTGAATTGGGTTTTGAAAATGGAAAGGAAATGATTTGATTTTAGTTATTTTTTGTCAGTTTGGTTGCTGTCCAAAAGTGGGCGTAAACGAAGGAAAGATACCAAAATTAATGCAAATTGTGAAATTTTCTAAATTTTTTAAATGTATTTATAAATTGACTTTTAAATTAGGGATAAAAATGTAACTAAGCTTACTTTTCTTTACTTTCATAATTCAAAAAAGATGAATGGATTCTGATTTCCTTTACTCTCCTTTGTTTTCTTTTCACTGCAGCTGTCTTCTTTACTTTCCTTCTCTTTCCATCAGTCCCAACGGTGCCTTAATTGGCTATGGATTTATCCAAAACTTTAAACGGAAACTAATGACTATCCTGGTTTTTAGTGAATAATCCATTAACATCCTTTAATGAAAAAAATTTATGACTCTGTTTGGTTTTTTTTTTTTTTTTTTTTGTTTGGGTTACATAAATAGATACATAAGGCACTTTGTCCCAACGGTGCCTTAAATAGATACACTTAAAAGACAAAGTAATTCTCTCCCAAATTCAGGTTCCCATATAAAAAGAAAAGGAAAAGGAAAAGGAAAAGGAGACACTCTCTTCCTATAAGTTATTTGTACGTTAACTTAAGAGAATTCCAGTACTATTTTCCTAAACTTGCTTCTAAAATATGCAATTGAAATGAAACAGGAATTTTTCGAGCCAAAAAAGACAAATGCGGCGTTGTTAAAAAACTAGAAATATAACATTAGAGGAACATATATATTGTTTGAGAGAAAGTTTAAATGACAAAGTATACACCAAATTTAGACTCCAAACCCCAAAAGAAGAAGTAAAAGGAGAAGTAAATATGAGATCTATTAGAAAAACATCGCATGTCTTAATTGTCCAATCTATATTTAGAATATTCCTTGAATATAATTTTCAATTAATGTTTTATTATTTTAATTACGTTTTTCTTCTATGCCACGTTACATCAATAAGAATTACACAACTATTATTTTCTCAAGAGCCACATCTAAAAAATATAATTGAAATGAAACTAGAATTTACGGGTCAAGAAATTCAAAAGTAGGTTTTTTTTTTAGTGTACCCCTAGACCTCTCACTTATATTCTCTTCTTCCAAACCACCCAACCCATCCCTCCCTCTAAAAAATGGAATTGTTAAACTACTACAAGACTATAATAGTAGTGTAATATTCATTTATTTTACAAGGGAAAAAATTTTAAAAGAAAAAAAAAAGAGAAAAGGAATAGCTGATGTGTTTTAAAAAGAAAAAAATGGAAAGCGAAAACAATGGGCTGCAGCAGCCAGCGGGGGAGGCTAGGATAGTATTATATCATATCAAAGGGGTTGAAACTATCAAATTAAATGGATTTAATGGGTAATCAATAGCCATTAAATTCCAAATCTTTAGCATCCATCTACTAATTGGGGTGACTCCATTTCAATTATAACAATTAATTATGAGTATCTGTAAACTCTTGAGCAGAAACTTTACATAGACGTCTATTATCTAGAAGGAATTCTCATAACATTTTCATATCTCCACTTTATTTTATTTTTGATCGAATAAAAAAATAACAAATTTATATTTTTAATCCGTCTTGTGTCCTCCTCCCCCCCACCCCCAACCCCAAAAAACAAAAAAAAAAAGAACGGCAATACAATAAAAGAGAAGCAGATTGGATCTATTCAATTCATGAACTACTTAGGATTTATCCAAAAATGATCCAATTAACCATTTTACCACCTCTAGTTTGAAACCTCCATAAAGAGCAAGATTTTGAAACTAATAAAGAATAAGATTCCATTTATTCAAAATTTTGTAAAATGGTAAGCTGAATGGAGATCTATATCATGCATAAATGAACAAAGACGGAAATCATTAATGGACATGTTTGGAACCTCCATTTTAGGTCATTGTGAGTCAATGACCAACAAACATTTTTCGTCGGAAATATGAAAAATTGGTGTCGAGGAATATAATTGATCTCACGTCAAAGGACGATCCCTGCACCGCGAGGCGCGAGGTTATCAGCCTCCACTGCAGGGGAAGTAGGAATTTCAATCCTTTTTTTTTTTTTTTTTTGCTTTTATCTTTTAACAATTAACAGCTTTTCTGGTTAAGGGGAAAAAACCGACTGAGTCATTTGATACTCAAATTGAATTAGATTTGTTAAGAGAACTTAGTTCATCAGCCAAGCCTGAATAATATTTTCTATTAAATAAAGTTTCAAACTTGGTTCAAACTCGGTTTGATCAAAATTAAATTAAAATTTATAAGCAAAAAATTCTAGCTACTCGACCTCATCTAGATCTAGACTCAATAAAAGTTCATTAGAATTCAACTTCATAAATCAACAAACTAAACAAGAACATAATTTCAAAATTGTTAAAATAATCATATAAATTTAAATATTAAGGTAATCGACTTGATTAGATTGGTTTATGCCCCTGTTGCTGATCATGCGTTAAAAAAAAATTTAAAAGAAAACCAATGCTTTAGGCACCGATTATTTCCATGTTTTGGAATACGCCATGTTTTGAGATACATGATAGGCGTGCTTAGCTCAGAGAGGCAAAAGAAATAATTGAGTAGAATGAAGTTAAACGATGGTATTGATTGTTTTTTTCTATCAGTGAATAAACGATTAAAACCCTTATAATTGGACAAGTAATTTACTTTTGTTTGCTGACCTGTAATCAATTGCCTCAATGCCTAGATTTTCCTTAAGCACATAAGTTTGTTGAAGAGAGCACTACCGGCTAGGGATGCATGTAGCTCGCGAGCAACTCGGTTAATAACTTGACTTGAACTCGGTCAAATCGAGTTCGAGCAGAGTCTTGAGTTACTCGAGTATACATTCAAGTCGAGTTCAAGCCCGAATTTTTGCAGCTCGGGGTTTGACGAGATACTCGTCGAGTAGTATAATTAAAATATATATATGTATTATAATTATAAAATGACCGTTATGGGTATAATTTATACTGAATTTACAAAATTGATCAAAAAACTCGATTGATCAGTTTACTTGACTCGATAAGGCTTGACTCAAGGTCGAGCCTTATCGAGTCGAGTCTCGAGCTTTTAAGGATTTTCTCGAGTCAAGCTCGAGTTGAGATTTTCCGACTCGATCGAGATCAAACTTGAGCTCAAGTATAATTATATTGCTATACTTGAACTCGACTTGACTTGAATACACCCCTACTACCGGCGGATAGAGGGACCAACTATGGCCTTGTTCTCAGTTGCTTTAAAATTTCTAAAGTCTAATTATAAAAATTACTTATGGAGATAATCAAAATCAGTAAAAACATTTTTTGGGTGATTATAGATATTATCTTTTTTGTTCATTAAAAAAATTTATAATTAGAATACAAAATTAATCAAAAATATCACAAAACGGATTATAATCAAAATTTATAATCATAAAAAACAAGCCCTATATATGATTTAAGACTTGTGCCTCACATACAAGTAAAGGTTGTAAAATAAACAGTAAGCGTATTACTTGCTATAAAAGATTAGTGTGACAAGATGCCCAAATCTTATCGAATACTAGATGTATGTGCGATGCACTAGCACGAAAAATTTCTATTGCTAAGTTGGAGGAAGCAGAATAGAAGGTTCTATTGCTAGCTCTCAATTATACAAGAAAGCTATTGTACCATAATAAAAGATATATTCAACGACACCAACGAGCGGTCCAGCGGCAGCGCCTCTCACCAGTGAATCTTGAGGTCACAAGTTCGAGTCTCCGCTCCGCTGGATTCCTCCGCGCACTTAACGTGTTCGGGCTGGGTTGGGACGCCGGGCCCGGACCGTAGGAGATTAGTCGGGCCCCGTAAGGATTGACCCGCACACCTCTGTGTCGACAAAAAAAAAAAAAAAACGACACCAACGAGCATTGGTTGTTAAACTTCATTTATTTATAGCCAATGTACTCATTTTAACACCTGGTACCTTCTGTACCAGTATTCATTGCTTGTACCAACTATCATCCATCAGATCCGTTGAGAAAAAAAAAATCCTTTTTTAATCATATAGACTAAGGGCGGAAGCCCGGTGTGCACGTGGACGTGGTCGTCCTCCGCGTGGTGGCTGTGGATTGGCTTTCTGATAATGTGGCACGATGTGATTGGTCTGAACTTTTTCCCTGCGCCTTTCCTTCCATTTGTTGACGTGGTGGCCCGGTTCCTGGTCAAACAGTCAGGCGGTTGTTTCGTAATGTCTTGTCTTCTTCTCTTTGTTGGGCTCGGAGGTTTGTTGATATTACAATTTTAGCCCTTTGATCTCAGCTATTTACATCCCGATCTTTTGTTGTATTTTTGAGTTCCTTTGTCCTTTGAGGGGTGTGTTGCTAATGTACGTTTTGTCACATCCAGTCTGCTTAGCAGCTTTTGTTGAAACGAGCAACTGCTCCAGCAACGCTACCCATCTCAGTTCCAGACGTCCTCACTGGGAGATTGGTGGCAAGTTTGGTCGTCTTCACTTCACATTCAATTTTGCTCTTCTATTCCTCTTCGTTTCTTGCTTCTTCCTTTGTTGTCAGAGAGCAGGTGAGCTGAGGGGAGTGGTTGTACCTTTGTAGAGCACCGATTGTGGTCTATCTTCTTTGTCCTTCATTTTCTTTTCCCTTTTTTGTACTTTTCCCTTTTCCAAACCACACGATTTTTCTTTTGGTCGATGGCTTTAGTCTTATCTTTTGAGCTTCCGTACATTCTCTCCCCCATTTTTTCCCTCTCTTCTGTCTTTTCTCTTCAGAAACTGATGCTCCATTACAAAAAACTCAAATCAGGTGAAATACACGATGAAAAGAAGAGAAGCCTAAATCCATGGAAGCTCGTAACAGTAATGAAGATTTCGCAATAGGATGCATACTCTCCGTCAAGACCATTCATCCAAGTATTGAACAAGACTATTGACAACTACTTTGCTGAGACCGAGCAGCTTGCATTTAACCCTGCCTTTGTTGTACCTGGAATATATTATTCAGATGACAAGCTGCTCCAGACTCGCATATTCGCATATGGTGATACCCAGCGTCACCGTCTTGGCCCGAACTATATGCAGCTTCCAGTAAATGCTCCCAAGTGTGCTCATCACAACAATCACTATGATGATTTCATGAACTTCATGCACCGGGATGAAGAGGTACTGATCCCTCTTTTGGTAATAATGAACCGCAAATTATGCCTCGTTCTTTAATTTGGTCTTCATTTTGAGGACATCCTACTTGTTCTTTATCCCAGTTAGTTTCCTGGTTCAAGTCAGCATTTAAGGTTACTTTTTATGTGATTTAGTAAATATAATTATCTATGACCGGTTGCTGGTATAAAGTAACTTTTCATTAGATACCATTTTTGTGACATGAGGTGGTTGTGAATATAAACTTGGTGGTTGATATGAAAACTTGTAGATGTCACCGACCGATGGATCGATGCTCTTCATTTTTATGTACTGTGAAAAAGGGAATTCTATGTGTGAAATAAATAGATTATGAAGAATTAGTGGATAAATAAGAGTTGAGTAGAAAGCTATCTTATTACATATTGTCATGACTCAAGGCATAGAGGACAGTTTGAAAAATGAAAAAATGCCAGAAGTAGTACCCATTCCGTTTTTCCAACTTTGTTGTGTAATTGCTTTACAATAAAATCACTTCAGTTTTTTTTTTTTTGGCTTCGGGACTTTGTGAATGGGAGTTAAAATGGGCTTATCTTATGCTTAGTTGTACTACACTTTTTTGTTCAATGTTTTTTCAGTTCGGTTATTTCCCTTCAAGGTTCAATCCTATTCGTCATGCTGCGAGGCATCCCTTCCCCTCTGCTGTCCTGAGAGGAAAGCGTGACAGGGTGAGTTTCTACGAGTAGATTTGCTTACTTTCAGGCTCTTGCTGTTGTTTGAATCTAGATAAAGGAACTATGGAAAAAAATTGATGACTTTACTCAGTTAATCAAATCTGGGGAAATCGGTTGTTTTAATAACTTCATCTTGGGATTTGAAGAATATATGATACATAATCTTTGCTTCTCTCCTTCCCCCCCTCCCTCTATCGATTTCTCCCAGTTCTCCCTCTTGTTCTTCTTCATCTCCCTCCCTCCCTTCCTCGAGTGATTATAGCTAATTTTTTCTATTTTTTGCCATTTTTTTTGCCATCTTCTTGGCAGAAAACAATCAATTTTTCCCTCCTCTTTCATGTCTTTTTCAGAAACAGCGAGAAAGGGAAGTTCAATATTTCGTCCCGACTATCTATGCGAATTTGTGGAATACAGATATGGTAATTTTTCTTCCCCTTTCTGTCTGTGATTAATGTATTTGTTTCATTTCAGTTTTATCATTCATTTTTTATTTTTAGTTCCAAGAAAAACTTTTAATATGATCTAAGATAGTGAATAATTGATGATTAGCTAGCTTTTAGATAGTTATTTACTTTATATTTTGTACCTACTAGGTTTTTATTGTTCCTGCTTAGATATAAACTTTCTCTAGCACACCAAGTTGGATCCGATCCATATTCTATCTGTTTGTTTCAATTTCTGCATTTCCTCATTCAATCTGTTTGTGTCTACTTAGATATAAACTTTCTCTAGGACACCAAGCTGGATCCATATTCTTTCTGTTTGTTTCTACTTCTGCATTTCCTCATTCTTATGGTTTTTATTGCTGAAGCATTTCCTCAATTTCGAACAGTCTTTTAGAGAAATGGTTGCAATGTGCTTGGTCAAAGACTTAAAAAAGAGGAATCGTGCGAAAAAACTCTCTGCTGACTTACCTCCGTTGTGGAATCGTGTCAAGGCAAATTTGAGTGTACGTCATTTTAATGGTACTATTATGGAACTGCTAACCATCATTTTATTTTCTAATGGTTTACCTACTAAAAAATTGCAGCTTAAGGATGCTGCAGAACTAGCTTTGAAGAAAATGCCTTCAGCTGAATAGGAAGCATTGTCACAGGTCTGGGACATCAGAAGAATTTACTGGCTGTTTGATCTTTTTCATTCTGAGCTGTCAAAGCTCTTTTACTCTTTGAAAGGGATTTCTACATTTAAAACAGTGGTATTTTTTCAGGCAAAAATAACAAAAGATGCAAATATTTAAGTGCTGACCTCCTATTTTCTTAACATCTTTTTTCTTTCTTCTTTTTTCCTTTTAGGTTTCTTATTAGTTTGCTTTCATCTGATGTAGGTGCAAGTTTGGAGATTTTGTCTTGGATCACTAACTTTGCATCATTTTTTTTCGTTTTTATTGTTCAGTTCTATGTTTAGCTTCTTTGTTACATGTGTTGTGCTGCTTTGGTTTCTTGCTCTTCACATTATCCTCAGCCTCCTCTTGCCTACTGCTACTGTTCCTTCAAAAAACAGGTATTCGTTCTTTACCTCCTTTTTTTCTTTCTTATTTTTTCTCCGGTGACATGTTATAGCTGTGATAGTTGATGTGAAACATTTTTTCTGATTCTCTTTTATCCTGCATGCTACTTCATGTTTATCCTACAGGGTGGTTTACATGTCTTGCATTTCAATTTTTTCCTGCTTCCTAAGATTTGGTGGAACTACATATATGGGCAAACATAGAGAATGGAAAGAAATGAACTTTATCTGTGATGCCTTCTTCAGATGAAGATGCGTCAGAAAAATTCTGAATTGAGAAGACATGACTATAGAGTTCCAGAAAGAAAACAATATCGCGCTAACCACAGTTTAAATGATAAAATTAGTGAAACTGATTCCTGTATACAACAAGGGAATATGCTTATTATACACTAAGGGAAAAGTTGTTTTAAATCTTGATTCAGTTCACAATAAGGGAAAGCTGCAGACAGTAAGGAAAACAGATTTAAAGTTCGTCCTCAATTTTGTTTTGAACTTGGTATTTTTTTTTCCCCATATGTTTTTTATCTCAAGTATACATAATTTGCTTTTAGTGAACTCTAGACAAAGATTAATACGGCACAAGTATCGTCATCGATCAACCAGATTTTGTTCAAAACTTACCTGAAGGTGTGTGCTTCTATCAAGTAGTTACCAAACAAAAAAACTATAAATTTGTAAGTTTGGGGTATTTTTCATTTCGTTCTAGCCATTCATATTATATCACGTTCATAATTTTGTCTAAACAACAACAGAAAGTTCCAAGATTTGTCGGATACTTCATACATAGTGACCTGACGCCTTCAATTACTTCGAGAACTGGAAGGAAAACAATGACAATTGCAATGCGTGGGAGGCAGTTTGCAGATAGCTGGGATATCATTCTGATTGAGCATCAGTTGTAGCCTGGAGAAACATTAGTCTTCGTTCCTGATAAAAGAAGTTCCACCTACATTTTCCTCACCTTTGATAAGGATGGTGTAGATGGTCAATTCCCATGGTATAACATGTTCTAACTGTACTCCATAATAAGGAATACAACAACTTTGATGTATCTAAGTAAATATCTTCCTCGGATTGTGTTTGTTATTCTTTACCAATTGATATAAGCATTGCATTTTCGATGTATTTGTTTGTTTCTTTTCAATGTACTCTATGAGGCTTGCTAAATAAGACGTTCTTGCTTTCTAAGGCATATCATTGGTCCATTGCAACTTAAAACTTATCTAATGCATAACATTTGTATACTGTAATCAGGTTGACCTTTTCTTTTCATTTGAAAACTCCAACCTTTAGTGTCAACATTTTATATATAGTATTTGTCGATGCCATTAAATCTTGGGCATGCTCAAACTTTAGTGTCAACTTGAATAATTTACGTAGATTATATGAACTCTTACGTTGGGCATGTATACCACCGCGCTGTGCGCGGTGTTACCACCTAGTCATATATATATATACAACGAGAAAGGTAGCTTTGCATGTATTTCAGAGAAGTTAGTAGTGTTTCTTTTTTTCATCAAATCTATGTGTTGCATGGTAAGTACATGGATTACTCTGGCTTTTACTATGTACCTAACAATGCAATAATTAGTTTTAAAAACTAAATAGTTCACAGAAAGAAGCAAGTTTCAGTTATCCTTTATGTGTTGTTCTTGAAGTATCATGGACTAAAGAGCTTGTGAAATTTCACATTTTCTAGTGCCTTGAATTAAGATACAATAGAAATTTAAAATATAGAGTCGTTGATTATTGAACCCAAATTTAACAAGAAAAAAAATGTTGTGCATCCATTCCAATATCCAGAATAACTCTTTCTTTTTTGCAGTTCCTTTTTGTATAGAACTCTTTGACCTAAGTGCAAGATAGGCCTTTCAAATTGTGTCAAAAAACTGCATATACAGGTTGCATGTTAGGATAAAAAAGTCCCCAATTTTGCTCTATACCAGAGGGCTTTTGATTTTCATTAAACATGGCAAAGATAAACCCTTCAATATAAGCCCCAGGCCTCTTAGGTGTGCCACCCATATTCAACACATGCTGCATAAAGTTCCTGTTGTATGTAGATGCAAGTTCTGGGGTTGTGAAACCTCCATTCCCAGCAGAAGGCCATCCGCTCTCAGAAACTGCCACTCCTACGTTATTTACTCCCTGTTTCTCCATTGCCCAATAAAATGAATCTACCGTAGCATCAAATAAGTTATGATAACTCAGATTTCCATCAACAACCACTGGATCTTTTGCAGTGAAAAGAGCATAATCTAGGCGAACTTGGTCTGGATCCGATGCATAGGCGAAGTAAGGGTACACATTGGCCATCAATGGAGACCCTTTGATTGATAGAAAGCTCAACACATCTGCAAGTGCACCCTTTGTCTCAGGTGAGAATTGACCAGCTGAAGGAGGATAGGAAACTCCCAACACCATCGTAGCGACCGCGGTGGTCACGGTTATACCATTTAGATTGTGGTCATTCAGAACAGCCTGAAGATTACTCATGGCAGGGGCGACATCGTTGGCAAACTCTCCTGGGATTGCTTCATTTCCAACAGAAATGAATGAAAATGTAATGTTACTGAGATAAGGCAGCACATTTGTTGTAAACCACGATTCTGCTCCCTCAGTACTTGTGGCTATACTCGGTATATCTTCATTCTTTAACCCTAATGCGACGTCAATGCCACTGCCCTTCAATGCTTCTAGAGCGTCAGGATTTGGATCAAATAGCCTTAGTTTGCCGATGTTATATTTCTTGTAAAGGCTAATCACATCGGTAGCAGAAGGTAGATTGTTGGCTACCATTCCATAACAAACGCCGATGCCTATTTTGTCTCCAACAATCACCATTGGGCTATGCATAATGATCATCATCATCATGCCAACAACAAGGAACATTCTTAGGGATGCCATAGTTTGAGCCCTCAAATGCATCCTGTGCATTTCTCCTACTTGGAATGATCTAACAAACTAATTTTAATCAGTCACAACTGATACTCCTTTGGGTTCAATTCCCAAAGGAAACAATTCAGGTACCACTAAAGCATAAGGATCGATAACTTTATATCACATAAATCTCAAAAAGTACGGAGAAATTTCAATTCTGAAGATATGACATGTGCACAAGAATATATACTAGTTATTGCGCATATTATATAGGATAGTTTGCTTGTGAAATTGACCATGATATATATATATGTAGAACCAAGAATCGTAGAACAGAGAGCTAATGCTGTATGAATGGGAGTTGAGACGTGGGTCGAATTAATGACTCTCAACATGCGTGAAGCAGATTTTTGCAATCCTTCTACTTTAATAACTAAGTAATGTTCTTCAGGCAACGTAGTAAATCACGAATTGCATGGCATGCAATACTACGAATGAAGATGAATCTTGGAGGGAGGAATGTCCTTGATTCATAATCTCGCCCTTTATTCTAGCAGATGCACCTGATCTTGGAGTAGTTATGAACGTTTTCCTCTGCTAACTCCTAACAGTGTATATTAAGTAAATCCACAGAACTTTGTGTCCCGGTTTAGTGAAAAAGTGCTTTAGAATTTCTTTTTATTTATACATTTACACGGTAACAAATAAAGCGAAAGATTTGAACAAAAGGCGCAAGATATCAGTAGAAATTGATGACCAAAAAAAAAAAAAAAAACAGATTAATGTTTGTAGTATTCGTCCTTGCTCGCAAATTAATGTCACTAGCAATTACTACAAAAGCACGCCAGTTTTAATAACGAAAAGAACAATGGTATCAGTATACAAAATTCACAAAATATTGAACCTCGCAGCATATATATTACGGTTTCATACTCAAAAAGCACCTTTTTGAAGATTCAGTAAATAAAAATTAGGTTGTTATGAAATAATGATAAGATGTGGATGTCCGTTGATATTCTCTAGATGTGGCTGTCCGTTGATATTCTCAAGAAGGATTACAAGATGAAGATGTCCGTTTGCATTCTCAAGATGATAGTCACATGTATTCTCCCTAGATTCATTGGTATATTGGATGAACTCATTTATGGATGTACTTGATGTACTAAATTCATGTATTTGTATTTAATAAGGTTCATGTACCTTTGATCTTGGATCACCTATATATAGGGGTGTATCCTACTTCCTTTGTAACCTTGTAACATTGAAACCTGGAAGTACTTTGATCAGTAAAATATAATAATATTCTATCTCTCACTCTACTATTTCAATCCCTACTTTGGGAGTTTATTTTATTAGTTTCACAACACGTTATCAGCACGAGTCTCTACCTTGAGTTAAGGAGAAGCACGAGTCTCTACTTTGAGCGAAGGAAAAGCACGAGACGCTGTCAAGGTTCTGCCCGAATAACTTTTGACTACTTATCGAGGTAATATTCTTTCCTACGAATCTAGTGCATAGTCTTATGGCTAATCTCACAAAACAAGAGTTCGTACCTCTTGATATTTCTGGAAAAAATTATTTATCGTGGGTATTGGATGTTGAAATTCATCTTGAGGCAATGGGTCTTGGTAATACTATTGTTGATGAGAATGATGCCTCAAACCAAGACCGTGTTAAGGCCATGATTTTCCTTCGTCGTCATTTAGATGAAGGACTAAAAGTAGAATATCTTACTGTCAAAGATCCTCTTGTCCTTTGGCGAGATTTGAAAGAAAGATTCGACCACCTGAAGTTGGTCGTTCTTCCAAAGGCCCGATATGATTGGTTCCACTTACGACTACAAGATTTCAAATCTGTCAACGAATATAATTCAGCCATGTTCAGAATTACTTCTCAATTATCATTGTGTGGCGAAAAAATCACTGATGAAAATATGTTAGAGAAACATTCTCTACTTTTCATGTCTCTAATATGCTCCTGCAGCAGCAATATAGAGAGAGAGGATTTAAAAAATATTCTGAACTTATTGCATGTCTTCTGTTGGCTGAACAAAATAATGAATTACTGCTGAAAAATCATGAGTCCCGACCAACTGGTGCAAGTCCATTCCCTGAAGCGAATGTGACTCAATTTCAAAATTCTGGTCGAGGTCGTGGACGTGGCCGTAGAGGTGGCCGTGGAAGAAGCCGTGGACGTGGCCGTGGCCGTGGACGTGATCATAGTAGATTTGTGTCTCGTGAAAATTATAGCCGTGGCAAGCAACAAAATATTTCTCAAGAGAGAGAAAATGACTACGATCCGAAAAAAAGGAGAAAAGAAAGTTTATGAAGAAAAATGCTACCGATGTGGTATGGAAGGTCACTGGTCCCGTACCTGTCGTACGGCTAAACATCTTGTTGACCTCTATCAAGCATCATTGAAAAAGAAGGACAAAGATGTCGAGACAAATTTTATCGACCAAAAGAATGCTTATGATGATGATGATGCTGACATGACACACCTGGATATTGCCGATTTCTTTGAGCATCCTGAAGATGCAAAATGATCATATATTTAATATTTGTCTAG